CATTCCTGGGAGTCAGTAACTCAGAGAGAGGAGTCCGACAGTCTGGTTTAGCAAGCCCTCCGGGTGGTTCTGATGTAACTGAATTTCGAGAACCACTGCTAGATGGTAGTTTTGCATTTACATCTGTGTTAGGCTTTGGAGAAGCAAGAGAGATCCCCCAGCTTGTATCCAAAGTCATGGAGAGGGCACAGTACAAGGTTATTTGTGGCAAAAAGAGAGCAGGCCTCATAGGAACCCGGGAGAAGTCACACAACAGTATGCTGGTGAGAAGCTGCTGTGGCACAGCTAGGCATCCCAGGAACGGGGGTGGGGTCTGGAACATGGAGTGTGATTCAGGGTCTGGAGTGGCTGCCCCGGCTGACTCATTGTTTGCCCAGCTGTTCCCGGTTTCTTCCTCTAGTGCCTTACTGTTATTGTGACTCAGTGATTCTCTCTGCCGCTGCCTGCAGAAGTCCTGGAATAAGGCTGCTTGAGTTAGAATTCTGGCTCATTATCTGTATGACCTTGGGCACTTTATCTAACTTCTCTTGGCCTTGGTGTTCTGTCCTGAAATATGGGAATACGCATTGTGTCTATCTTACAAATCTATAAGAAATCTTACAAATCTGTTTGTAGGATTACATGAGATAACGGGCGTATCGTGTTGGGAGCATTTCCGGAGACCCAGTAACTGCTGAAAAACTGAAGCTGTCATTATTGCCTTTGTGTGGCTTCATGCTTCTAGATACATCTACCAGAACTGACTCTTGCTCTAAACCCTGAGTTCAAGTGCTTGAGAAAGAGATGCAGATTGCTGTCATGAGTCACTGTGGTAGTTCCTGGGCCAAGCTCTCCCACTAAGCATCTGTGGATGTCCCATGTATTTACGGTTTGGGGCTTAGATGCTCTCCCACGGGCTATAATACCTCACTCTCTCAGAAGATCCTTCCATGCTATAACCAAAGGGAGGAAGAGAGCGCGTGCACTATTGTGCCAGCAGGACACTCGGGCTAGTCCAAGGCAGCGTGAACTTCCGGGTGACTTATTCCTTCCCTTAGCTTGGTCGAAACAGTCTAACCATCCGTCTACTGACGGCATTTTTTATCGGGCTCCAGAGGCTGGAAACCTATTTTTACACGAATAGATCAGATTTGAACTTAGCATGTGGATTAGAGGTGGAGACCCTGCCACCCTATGACTGTCACTTCTGCCCCCCCTGTCTGGGGTTGCACAAGCAGCAAAATAGGGCATTTCAATGCAAGAAAAGACGTGCTGCTCATTGACAGAGGCAGAGGATGCCAACCTCAATAAAAACTGCACATTTAAACAGTTATCCCCAGCCTCCCTGGAGCCTCCCTGGAACTTTTACAATAAATGCCTTTATCATTGTTTAGGCTTGGAGAAAACGGGAGCTGACATGGGTCACTTCAACACACTTTTTGGCTGGCTTCCTGCAACGAAGTTGCTGGGTTAATCTGTTCAGATGTGTGGACTTTGTAGTTCACAAATAGTAAAAGGAGTTTTGTGATGACTGCTCCACAGACAAAACGGTTCTTATTTGACTAAGCAGTAAGTATGAGCTCTTTCCCTGTTTACTGATTTTGGAGTGATGAGATACAGCCATGCCAAGTGTGAGCTGCTTCCCTTTATAGTTTTGAATTTGCATGATAGCATTCCATTTTCGATCATCTAGAATGTCTCTGCTTCTTTTCTTTCTCCTTGTGGGAAAGCAGAGAGAAAAGTCATATAGTAATTATAATGGAAAGTCTTATAATGATCTGAGCCCCCCTCGCCCCCCCCCCGCCCTGGTTCCTCTCCTGCCCCCGACCTGCACCCTGCAGTCATTAGCTTTCTGATCAGAAGATTTTAGACCTGGAAGAGCTGTCTGCTTCAATGTCTGACTGGAATAATCAGGGCATATACAGATTCCTTTGAGAGGAAATGCGTTCTTGCAGATTTCTAGCAATACCTCTTAACATTTTTTATCATACAATTCCTTACATTGGGGTGCCTGGATGGCTCAGTCAAGAGCGTCTGACTCTTGACTTTGGCTCAGGTCATGAACGCACAGTTGTGAGATCAAGTCCCGTGTCCAGCTCTGTGTTGGGCATGGAGGCTGCTTGGGCTTCTTTCTCTCTCTTCTCTCTGCCCCTCCCATATTGCCATCTCTCTCTCTCTCTCTCTGACAAAAATTCCTTAAATAGGCAAAAATATAAAGCTAGGTATACAAGCATGTGTTATACAATCATGAAAACCAAAAATAACTTACAAGTTAACTATAAACAAAAGTACAACCAGGAATTTCAAATTAATAGCATTAAAGAGCAGACATTGGTTGAACTTAGACTGCCAAACCTGGATGTATTAATAGAAAGATGTGCTGGCATAATTGTTTTACTTACGACTGTTTTCTCTTTAATCATTGCCAGACATTATTTAAGTGGTAGTAACTTTCATTATTATTATTTGCTATTTTGACAACAAAATCATGTTAAACTTATGAACGGGTTGGTCAGTTTAGAACACACACCCCCCATGCTGAAGAAAAAAGTATCCTTTAATCAAAGAATGCTTACCGTTTATTTATGGGCAACATAAACACAGCACTTGACGGCTACAGCCGAGGTACTTGGAGGCTTTGCTTTCCAACAGTCCTGTGCCATGTAATGACTCAGACTCCCATCACTTTCCTCTGTTCAAGTTGCTACAAAGTCTTGCACAATGTGTGGTAACACCCTTTGTCCTTGGCTTGGTATACCCTCGATTATAAATACAAGCGACAAGAGACAGTCATTGGAACCTCATATTCATCCAGATGACACGGGCTATGTCTGCATTAATATTTATATTTCAATTACCATCAAAATGAAAACACAAAATTACATTCTGATAGGCTTTTTGGATTTGGGGGAAATCTGAGGACCTTCAGAGGTCCTAAGACTCTGAGTTGCTGCCTAAGTTTTACCTCTTTTAATTCTCACAAAAACCCTATGAGGTAGACCCTTGGCGTCAACCTGGCTTCACAGATGAGGCTCTGGTCTGTGAAAGGGTTAAGGAATTTGCCCAGCACCACACAGGCGGTGAGAGAAGAATCCGGATTCTGTCCCAGGTCCATCTGTCTCCGAAGTCTCTCTCCTTGAGATCCCTCCAGACTCTCACCCCTGGATATCTGTCCAGAGTCCTCAGGCAACTGTGTAGGAATGATCATTGGGCAGGCAGGGCCTCGTGCCTATCTTTTTACATACAGTTCCTTAAGGAAACTCAAGGCGAATGTGGCACTCATCAGCTGAAGTGATGCAGTGCCCGTTTTGGGCCCCGCATCTGAAGCCCATACTAAGTGGTACTATCGCATGAGAACTGCTGTCTGTCCCTTCAAGTCTGGTGGTTTGTTCGTTCGTTGGTTCATGAACTCATTGAACCGAATACCTGGATACCCTCCCAGGACTTCTTCTTCTTCCTCTTTTTTTTTTTTTTAAGTTTCTTTATTTACTTTGAGAAAGAGAGAGCATGAGCAAGGGAGGGGCAGAGAGAGGGAGAGAGAGAATCCTAAACAGGCTCCGCACAGTCAGTGCAGAGCCCAAAGCAGAGCCCGGTGTGGGGCTTGAACACACGATCTGTGAGATCACAACTTGAGCTGAAGTTCAATGCTTAACTGACTGAGCCATCCAGGGGCACCTACCTACCCTTCCAGGACTTCTATCAGTATAAGAAAGGAACTCACAGGTCCCAGTCTTCTTATTTATAGACACCAAACTTTAACCTGTTTCCCTTACCATTGGGCATGAGTGCCTCTTTCTTTAAACAAGGAGAGGGCTTGGACTTCGACAGAGTGGTAAAAAAAAAAAAAAAAAAAAAAAGCATTGATTAATTTTGGCCTCAGAAACTCTGGGTGGAGGTCCTACTTTTATTGCTAAAGGCTCTGTCACTTTGCCCAAGCCACTTACCTCCTGTGAGCGCACATTTCCCATCTTTAAAATGAGAATATTGATAATGAATCCACAGGCTTGTGGTGAGGGGTCCATGGGACCATGTGTATAACAACATTATATACTTTGAAGCATTTTCAACAGCAGGTCAGGTTATTATTCATTATGTCCCCCAAACACTTGCAGAGCTCCCAGTAAGTGTCAAGATGTGTGTTGGCACTGGAACTACAAGAGTTAGACTTGGTCCCTGATCTTAGTGAATTCATAGTCTAGTAGGGGAGGCTGGCATTAAAAAAAAAAAAAATCCCGAGCTCCTGAGGTGTACATAGTTGCAGAAATATGTGCAAGAGACGCAGTTGTCAAAGTGCTCTGAGTGAGACAGCAGAAGTTTTGCGGAGCAGAGACATGAGCTTATCCTTTGACTATCAATAAAAATTATAAAAACACAAGGCGGCATGGTGTGCTTGGGAATTAGGTCAATGAGGTGGGGCAGCGTATGAGGTCAGTGCCACTCGGTCACAGAGAACCAAGGCTCCAACCTTGGTTCTGCTTTCATTGTATCCCAATCGGATGCGGTTGTAATGCCCACCCATGCTATTTCCTTTCTACCCAGAATGGTAGAAAGTAATTACTTTGTGCCAGCTTAGAATGTACTTGCAGGATGAAAAACATCAAACACAGTCTCCATTTAATTGGCTTTTCCTGCTGTTTTTTTACTTGGGCTGCATGACCAGCTCTGAGAACTACAGGGGCACCTTGACGTGGCATTTCCTCCTGCTCTCCTGGAGAGGGCTCCTTTCCCTTTGGCAGGCCCTTGATTTCCTCTGAGTATATTATTTGACCTCTGCATTGTTGCTCTTTTAAGAAAAAAAATTTTTTAAGTTTATTTATTTTGAGAGAGAGAGAGGGAGAGCAGAAGTGGGGAGGAACAGGGAGAGGGCGAGAGAGAGAGAGAGAGAGAGAGAGAGAATCCCAAACAGGCTCCACCCTGTCAGTGCAGAGGCCAATGTGGGGCTCAAACTCACCAACCACGAGATCATGACCTGAGCCGAAATCAAGAGTTGGAGGCTTAACTGACTGAGCCACCCAGGCGCCCTGCATTGTTGTTCTTTTGATGGCCCACTTAGCCCCCCAGAGCTACAATACATTTGGCCACGTTTACTATAAACAATAGATTTTATCCCTGCAGTTTTTCAGGAAATTGCCATTCCCTCCAAGGAAGTCAATGCCTGCAGCACTGAGTGCATTAACCTGTCTGTTTGCCTCATTGACTTGGACAGAATGTTTGGCATCTTTCGGCCCCGACTCCTGTTGTCATTATTGCCTTGTGACTTTTGTGGAGAACATAGTTCCTATTACATTATTCTACAGATTCAATCAAACCGTGACTCAGGCAGTGTTGCTATCTTCGGAGTGACATTTTCCATGAATGCTCCTAACTCTGCGGTTGGAGGAGCATGACCCATGGCGCTGGGGCAGTGCTGAAGCAGACCGTGTTACTCTCCATCCACTGTTAGGAACCCTGGGGAGGAAATAAATACTTGTGTATCCGAGCCAACAAGAAGAGGAAGGAAGAGCCATAAATGCTATGGGCTCTTTTGATTTGGTTTGACTTCAACATGATTTTACAGCCTACGTTGTAACCAAAGGCCCTTCTTTCATATCACTTTGCCAGTCTGAATATGAAAATGTGTGGGTAGTTTCTCCAAAGTGTGGTCCAGGTAAGAGGTCTCCCCTGTGGAGATATCAGATATTAGGTATTAGAACCCATATATTTATTTAAAACATTAAAAAGAATGAATTGGTTAAGTGTCTCACTCTTGATTTTAGCTCAGGTCATGATCTGACAGTTCGTGGGATTAAACTCCGTGTCTGGCTCTGCATTGACAGTGGGGAGCCTGCTTGGGATTCTCTCTGCCTCCCCCGCCCCCACTCCTGGGTGCTCTCTCTCTCTCTCTCTGTCTCAAAATAAATAGTTAAAAACTTAAAAAAAAGAATGAATTAGAATTTTATTCTAGGCAATAAAGAAATTAGTGGTGACTTTAACTGGGCTAGATGTTAGACGGTCAGGGTATCATGAGGGAAGTGTGTTGGTCACACAGCAGGGACACCATTCATTAGTTTATTTTCCAGCATCTTGTGATGTTTTGCACTTTCTGTGAGCTTGGTTAAGTGAGCAAGGACCTTAAGATATTTATGTTGTGAAAACTTGTAATAAAGGTAATATTAGGTCATAATTCAAAGCCAATGGTGGAGCTGATCCCTTCTGACATGAAGTTGACCCATAACTTCAAAATTATGAACCAAACGATTTGAAACACAGATTTTGTTACAGGCGGCGTTGTGCCCGTCCCCCAGTTCATATGCTGAAATCCAAACCTCCAGTCCCTCAGAACGTAGCCTTATTTGGAGATAGGATCTTTACAGAAGTAATCAAGTTAAAATGAGGTCAGTCAGGTGGGTTCTATTCACTATGACTGGTGTTCTTATACAAAGAATTTGGACACAGAAATATGCACAGAGGGAAGACCATGTGAAGACATGGGGAGACAATGGCCATTTACTAGCCAAGGCAAGAGGCCTGGAAAAGATTCTTTCCTTACAGCTCCAAGAAGGAACCAGCCCTGCCAACACCTTCATCAGTCATGACTTCTGGCTTCTAGCTTTGTGAGAAAATAAGTTCCTGTGGTTGAAGCCACCCAATCTATGGTACTTCATCATGGCAGCCCGAGCTGACTAATACAGATTCACATCCAGTCTCATTAGCAGTGGGGCTGGGTCATTATGTATTATGCTTTGAGGTATCAGTTCATGATACTGTGGAGGCATTAACACTAGAAAGACATTTGAAACTAGGCTTTCAGCACATGAATACAAGCCCAAAGTTCACAAACAATGAAATGTGTTCAATCACAGCCATCGCTAACAACAGTACTATTAGATTTCTGGGAGGGGCAGAAAGGTTTTTTTGTACCATTAATAAATGAAATAATTTTAAAAATAGTGATGTTTATTTTAACTAATTCTCTAATTATTTTGGAGATTAATGTCTATCTCCATTTTATTACATAGTTAATAGGATAGTCTGACAGTAATACGTATATATAGTTTACAAATAAGTATACATAAATAGGGTGAGTGCTCAAATATGTTTTGTTGAAGGTGTGTAGTTAAAAACATTTAGGGAACCACTGTCCATGACAATGTGGCTTAGATTCCTCCGTTCTAAACCTGTATACTTTAGATCCTTCAGATCCAGAACATGATAGAACAATTTTTCAAGGCAGTGGAGGTCGTAAAATAACCAGAGTTTCATTCTGAGAGTACAGAGTTTATGCCTTAGGAGACTCATATTTTCCTATGACGTTTTAAATAAAAAGATTTTCTTGATGGGTTTCAGGTTTTAAAGACAGTTTTTAAAATGACTTAAATATGTTTCTATATAGAAATTAACTTTTGTTAGTGGTTTTCCCTATTTACCATTTGTCTTCTATCTGGTACTATTGTTAAAATTCTCACAGTGGCAAGTGTTATGCCCAGAATTCGTGATCCCCAAAGACCACCAGGGAGCTGAGTCCGATGCAAAAGCAAAAGAGCCTTTATTCAAGCTAGCTCGAGCTCAATCCCCTACCTGCACCCACGCAGTGGTGAGATGCCGGGGAGAGAGAGCGAGTTTCAAAAGCACAAAGGTTTTATTGGGGTCTAGGGGCAGTTGGTGAGGTAATGGCTGTGGCCTCAGCCAATTGGCTGGGGAAGGGTCGTGGCCTCGGCCGATTGGCTGGGGAAGGGTTGGAGTCCTGTTATGCAGGTCTCCGGGCATGTTTTGATTGGGAAGTTTGAACGGGTGAGGGGGAGGTTACTCAAGGGGAGGAGGCGTGGTCAAGGTGGAGGACACAGAACAAGATGGAGTCGGCTGGCATAGGTCTGCCCTTTCAGCAAAAAGATCCAGGCACAGATCTAAGAAGTTGGGAAGGGTCCTCACCAACCCATGTATTTGGAGATTTTTTGGGTACGTTGCAAAGAAGAAAGCTAGTTGGTTCAGTAGCTACCCCTGGAGAATGCAGTTGAATGCAGTTAAAGTTTGGGGTAAGGAGAGACCTTCATACACATCAGGTACACACACATTCACACACATATACAGACACACACACACACAAACACGCCAGCATGCATGTATCCTAGGGGAAACCTGCCTGGCTTTTTACCAGAGACCTAGCTGCTCCTTCCACTGTAGAAGAATGCACAGTAATCAGCATTCTATGTGTTTTGAGTGGCAGGGTTCAAATTAGCAGTGATGCAATAAATGAGCATCATTTATTGGGCTGTTGCAATTTTGACTCTCTTCCATCTTCAAAAGGGCCCCAAAGGACAAAACATTTAGTATGTGTAAGCAAACAGTGACTTGCCTTATGAGGTCTAAGACTGTTTGTAGAGTTTTCTGATTACCATCAAGGAAAGCAGAGAGAGAGAGACATTGGTTCATGTTTTTTTTTTTTTTTATCTGTCTCAAGCAAATATGTACTTGATTTTATCTACCAGTCTTGCAAATTATCATATGTCCCAGAGGGCATCTAAATGCAGAATTTTCTGGTTTCATCCACGCACCACTGTACAAGTCATTGCCAATGTCAGAAGCTGGAAATATGTTATGATGGCAGAATGACACTGGCCAGTCCCTGTCTCTGCCCCTCCTTAGTTCCAGTGGAGCTTAAATTGCTCAGGTGGCAAAAGTCACCCTCCAATGGAGAAGGTGTATAAAGAGAATAATAGAAGAGGTGAGACCAAGTCCTGGGGCTCCAGCACTAGGAGATTGAGGAGAGGGCACTGGGAGCAGTGAGATATCAGGAGAAAAAACTGAGTGTGGCATCATGGTACCCAAGGGAAGAAAATGTGACCAGCTCTATGCAATGACATCCCTATTCTCATCTTCCACAGTTGCCCATTTGTCCTTTTCAGTTGCAAGACTTTCTTTTATGCTGTGAGATCACTGAATGTGTGTGTCACTAGAATTTCCTAAGTTCTCCAAACCACTTGGAACTTATGCAACCTATCAAAAATGCCCTCCGTCTCATCTTTTACTTCCTGTTTTGTATTTCCTTTTTTGTATTGAGTCCTGCTGGGAATTGACACTAAATGGGACCAAGTTCAGGTTGGAGGGAGAATTTTACTAAAAATTGAGGGATGCCTTTGGCAATGAAATTCCATTCAACAAGTGTTTACTCAATACTTACTAAGTATGAGATGCTATTCAAGGTGCTGCAAGAAATAAAAAATTAAAGAAATCCATTTAGATGCCCTGCAATGCCTGCAATATAGGAATGGGATAGGAAAATATGCATAAAATGCTGTGGGGGTTTGATGGAGGAAGAGATCACATTCAGTGGGAGGGATTTTAAAAGACCCCAGGGAGGAGTTAACGTGTGGGGTTGGGCCTTAAAGAATGGTTGGAGTTTTGAAAGGCAGAGATGAACTAAAGAGCAGTTCAGGAAAATGGGAACGTGAGCAAAGGCACAGAAATGGGAAAGTATAGCTCACTTTTGGAGAAAAGGTAGTAAATTTGGAACATAAAGATATGCATGTCAAAAACAAAACAAAACAAAACAAAACAAAACAAACTGAAAGAGTAAGGTTAAAGAAGAAGCATGATGATCTGTGTCGCAGAGCCCTGGGCAGGGAGGCAGCGAGGGCGTGTTGTGAGAAAAGACACAGCGGCAGGCCAGAGATAGATTTGAAGTCAAGTCTCCCCCCAGATATGAGCTCTGTGATATGAGTTGTCAAAGGAAGTTCTCTAAACCTCTAATTTTCCTAATGTAAAAGGCACTTGTATACTTCCCTAAAAACAAACAAACAAACAACACTAAGCCAAATCAAACCAAACCACAACGTTCTTCATAATGGTGGCCTGGAGACATAAATATGGAGTTAAGTTATGTTCAGTATCTCTTGCCTAAGAAATCAGGGAAATGCATGGGAGGCTTAGATTTCTTAAGAAAGGTTAGCACAGATTGTGCAAGAGAGAGAGGGTGTAATAAGACCTTTTGTCTTATGAAGGCTTAACTCCTAAACGTACATCCCTCTTTGGAGAAGGGAGAAAAGGATTCTGCGAGGTGGTAGATGTTGGAATTTGTACCTAACAGCATCCCTGGGCACTGGCCAACACCCTGGGAAGTGGATGTGTGTGATGAGAAAGAGCAGGAAAAAAGAGCTGCAACCGTAGAGCTGAGCCTAGTCCTAGGAGATGGGGAGGTCCTTTCTCAGGGAACCACAGAAATCTTGAGGGGGTGTCTAGACCAGCGAAGGCGCTTTGGGTGGGGACACGCTCTCTGTGTAGAACCCGTCTTCAACAGTGCCACCATGTGGCAGAGAGGAGCAATGGCAGCTATAATTTGATCTGACTTTCAGTTGTGTCTGCTCTGTGTAAGCTCTAACGAGCACCGAAGCCCCAGCTCTTGGAGACAGTAAGCGAAGAGACTTAAGAGGCTGACGCCCTGCATCCTGATGGTAGACAATATAAGAATTTGGGAAAGTAATTGAAAAGTAAGGAGAAGTAATGATCTGTAATTCAAATTTCTAGAGCAGTTCTAAGTGGTTAGGGATAATTTGGAATAAAAACAGAAAAAGGTAACTCTTAAGGGTTGACTTTTGTGTCGCTAGAAGACTCAGCTATCCAGAAAACTCCCATTCCCTACGTTTCCGGGCTGAGGAGATTTTATTTCTGTTTTTACTCTTTAGGGAAGGAAGAGAAATGATTGCATTTCTATTTGAAATTTGACTTCCTTCCCATGAATCTCTGGAGGACAACGTTTCTAAATGATTCTAGATATCCTGTCTATACCTTTTAACATCTCTGCATTTATCCCTGGAGTTTCTTGTGGGTGAGAATGGATATTAGAAAAGAGATGATGAGAAAAGCATCAGTCATGTTAATTAGTGTCTGAATTACATCTATTCCTGGTCAGTTGTCACTAGGCAAAACTCTAAACTTCAGTCAGGGTCTGGGCTAATTGTGCTCTGGGTCTGATAAGGAGTCATTGAAAAGTGAGCAATGAGTAAGGTCAAAGCTACGCATTTCTTCTTTGTTAACTCTTTTATCATTCATCATTGGTTTAGTATTTATCGGATTTTGGAAGGTAAGTCAATACTTACATTTGGAGGGTTCTGTAGTGGTCATTTGGTTCTGCCTTTCATCCCAAGCAGAACTTTCTGCAAAATGCCTGATTTTTGTAAAGAAGATCAAGCAGGATCTGCTAAAACACACGTAGCCACTACTTTGTGAGACAGACCATCCACTTAATTCTTTTATTTTATTTAAAGTCAATTGATTTATTTTGAGGGACAGAGAGACAGAGCACATGAGTAGGGGAAGGGCGGAAAGAGAGGAGGCAGAAAGAATCCCAAGCAGTCTCCATGCTGTGAGCACAGAGCCCAATGCGAGTCCCGAACCCGCGAACCATAAGATCATGACCTGAGGCAAAGTCAAGAGCTGGATGCTTAGCAGACTGAGCCAGCCAGGTGCCCCAGAGACCATCCCTTTAATATTCAAAGTGCAGTGTAAGGAGCAGCACCAGGACATTGCCCGTGAATTAGTTAGAAATGCTGGATTTGAGGCTTCACCCAGACTTGGATTTGACAAGATCCGCAGGTATGCACATACTCTTTAGTGTTTGAGAAGCGCTGGGCTTTTCCATTATTGGATGGTTGTGGGTGTCAGAAAATCGCATGTTACTAAAACCTGCTGAGCTGGTGTGGTCTGTGGACCAACCTGTATCTGCTTAGCCTTGCCTGTCCTCAGCCCCCCGAGGCTAACTCTGCTCACTCCCATTCCTGCAGCTCTAAAAGGTGTGGCTGCTGCCGCCATTGCAGTGACCTCATCTCCTTGCCCTCCAGTTGTCTCTGACCTCCCCCTGGGTGGTCACACTCACTACATAGAAGCTGAGGCAGCTCTGGTGCCCAAAGTAGATCCCACTGGAGTGGTGGGGACTCTGGTCTCTCCCAGTGCCCCTCAAAGGGGCAGAGGATGATAACTAAGGAGTGTGGGGGTGTTTATACCATGTGGAGAGAGAATAGAGACAGGAAGGATCCAGAAGATAAATTGCTAGCTCTTCCTGGTGTACTACGCTCCATAGTACATTGCCCTTCTCCCTCCACCTCACCAGAAACGTCCTGTGTGGCCAGCTGTGTTTTGGGGGAAGTTCTGCGTAGCTTGGTAATGTACTACCTTGTGTTTGTTCTCCCTCACGTGTCTTTTCCTTTACCTTTTTTTCCCCTCTCAGATTGCACCCCTAAGTAAAGCAGTAATACCTAAGCTTTGCCTTAAAATCTGTTTTGTAAGGAATCCAGACTAAGACATCTGCCTGGGATGAGTTTCACTCACCGCTTCTAATTCTGCCATCTGGTTGGCTTTGGAGTGGTTGATTTCATTCATATAACTTCTTCCTTCAAATTGTACGAGACAGCTCCCCATGCCTTTTCCCTTCTTGGCTAAACACCCTCCATTCCTTCGTGACTCTTCAAAATGAAGTTGCTGGGTGTCTCTCACATTCCTGTCACCCCACCTTCATATGTCTTCTTAAGTTGTGGCTCCTCTGGTGCCTTTCCAGGTCTGGTCGGTGCAGGGCTGAGCTCATAGGGTTCTCATCTGCTTGATTGTGGGCATAACACCACCACAGACATGGGTGTCCGGAGCGGGCCTGTTCCTGCAGGCAGAAGCTGACTGTTTGGGTTGTGGTGATCTGTTGTGTTAAGAAGAGCTTAGGGGAAGTTAGGTGGAGTGAACAAGGCAGATCTGCTTTGGTCTTCTGGGTCAGCTTCCGAGGGAGGGCCAGGCCATCTTTGGGACCTGGAGTTCCTCAGGGTGTCTGTGTCCCTTAAAGACACATTTGGGCTGACCCCAGGCCAGGGCCTGGTGGGACAAGGTGTTCAAGTGACTTCCCAGGGACTGTACCCTCCTTGGAGTTGGACACTTTATCAACTCTAATCCAGACAAATCCAGAGCCAGAGTTTGGGCAAGGGGTTCCCCACAAACATTAACATTACACCACCTTTAGGTTTTCAGTTTCAGAATACAAATGTAAGAGGAGGATCTAATAATTAGGTAAACTGTTCTAAGATCTAGAATATCTTATCTTTACGGAGGCCTTTTTTTTTTTTTTTTGACTTTTTAAAACCTTTTCAAAAAATATTTATTTTTGAAGGCGAGAGAGAAAGCACGAGCAGGAAAGGGGCAGAGAGAGAGGGAGACACAGAAACTGAAGCAGGCGCCAGGCTCCCAGCTGTCATGGGGCTTGAACTCATGAGCCGTGAGATCATGACCAGAACCGAAGTCAGATGCTCAACTGACTGAGCCACCCACATGCCTCTTTTGACCTTTTTAAAGACCCCATCCTATTACTCATCTCCAAACCCCCCCACCCCCCACTTTTCAGAACTTTTATGATTTATCAAGCACTGCCCAGGTTTTATGGGGCACACAGATTAGCATAAGATACAGCACCTGCCCTCCGGGATCTTGCAAAGGTACAGCCTATGACATAACACAGTACAAGGTACCTAATACTACTAGGAGGGTATGAATGCTGCCTGAACTCAGAGAAGTGGAGGAGCCTATATCTTAGAGTAGGCAGGGAGTCTCCGTGGATATTTCAATGAAGAAGAGAGTTTTAAATTTGCCATTGGATACTTTCCTATAAACTTCATGGCAGAAAGTTACAGAGACCCAATTCTTTAGGTCACTGAGGACTACATTGGTATTTCCCTTATTCCTTAAGGCAAAAGGTTGTGTCATGTTCTGTGATATTAATAGAATGCTGTCAATACGTATGGTTCAGTACCTTACCTGGGGCAGAGAAATGATGACATTTTTGCCTTTGGTTTAAAAGACTGGTGAGGAATCCATCCAAAAGTGAGCAACGAAAGCATCTCTCTTTTCAGAAGTAATACTTTTGGCTCAATATCAGGCTCCTGTCCCCTGGAGATGGAGGAAAGCAGACTCAATTTTTTCTGGCATGTTTGCTAACCTAATTTTGGTAAGAGAGGCGTGCCACAGTAAAGGGCCAGACAGGGAAAGTCAACCAGAGGAGCTTGGGGAGGGGCTTTGGGAGGGGCTTGGGGAGGTATTCACCCATCTCTAGCCATTGTGTAGTAGTTCATTCTGAATGATTCATGGTAAGGAAACAGCACTATGCTGGCTCCTGCAATTAAATTAAGGAATTAAATTAAGTAATTTTATCATAAAAGATTATGAATGCTAGAATAGAATGTAGCCATTAGAAATTATTTAGGTATTGCTGCTGCAATTCCGTGGACGGAACTGGAGGGTATTATGCTAAGTGAAATAAGTCAGTCAGAGAAAGACAGATACCATATGTTTTCACTCATATGTGGATCTTGAGAAACTCAACAGAAGACCGTGGGGGAGGGGAAGGGGAAAAAAGAGGGGAAGGGGAAAAAAGTTACAAACAGAGAGGGAGGGAGGCAAACCATAAAAGGCTCTTAAATACAGAGAACAAACTGAGGGTTGATGGGGGGGTGGTGGGGGAGAGGGGGAAGTGGATGATGGGCATTGAGGAGGGCACCTGTTGGGATGAGCACTGGGTGTTGTATGGAAGCCAGTTTGACAATAAATTATATTAAAAAAAAAAGAAATTATTTAGGTAGATACTTCCTGGTATGGAAAGATGCCCTGGTACTTTTGATTGAAATATTTTTTTTTAAATATTGGGTATTTAAAAATTAAAAATTTTTATATATGGGTATATAAAAATGCACCAAAATGTAAACAACGGTTTTTTGAGTGGCAGATTTTAGGTTGTTTCTACTTGTCTTTACTTATTTGTATTTTTGTACATTTAATTTTTTTGTTTTAAAGCTATGGACTGAATTAATTCGTGAATTAATTGTTAATTAATTCATCAACTATTTACTCAGTATCTACCTTCTGTCAACCATTGTTCTAAAACTGGAGGCTATGGGCTGATTATAAAATTCAATGGGATCTTTCTGGATCCTTTCTAAATTCATTTGATAATATTTATATAAGTTTTATTTCTTTACACATATTTGTAGATTTTTTAAATTCATGATCATACTCTGCCTACCTTTTTGTGACTTGCTTTATTACTGTTTGAGATCATAAAGGAAGAAATTATGGCTAAGTAACAGGATATAAAGAGAAAGCAAGTATTATTCAGAAAAGGGGTGTGAAATGCCTCCATTTCTGATTGCCCTTATGGCTCTAGCTTATTGACTGTTTATTCCTCTACATCTTTATTTCCTTGTTTTCTTGGTTTTTATTTATTTATTTTTGTCTTTTTTAGATTGTTGACATTTTTTTGGTCACCCCATCCAGTGGTGAAATAAGATGGACCTGAAGCTTATGAAATTTGGTGGCCTGTTTAAAGCATTTAAATTGAAAAATGAATTATTTATTTAAGATTGAAAAAGAAATAAGAAATTCCACTTTTTAAATGTAGACAAATACCACAAACATTAACAAGTCCAATTTGATTAGTTAATATTAATAACCTGAATAAAACTTTTCTTCGATATTTTCTAGGCTGTGTATTTTTTTTTTAATTTTTTTTCAATGTTTATTTTATTTTTGGGACAGAGAGACAGAGCATGAACAGGGGAGGGGCAGAGAGAGAGGGAGACACAGAATCGGAAACAGGCTCCAGGCTCTGAGCCATCAGCCCAGAGCCTGACGCGGGGCTCGAACTCACGGACCGTGAGATCGTGACCTGGCTGAAGTCGGACGCTTAACCGACTGCGCCACCCAGGCGCCCCTAGGCTGTGTATTTTTGATCATCTTTTTATGTGGTGATTTTGTAATTCTTTTAAGAATAGGAATTACTTCCTACATAAGAAATATTTCCTAAATAAGAAAGAAGACTTTTTTCTACCTAGACGATTTAAAAATGTATGCTTATTATTGATAGTTAAATGCATAAAACATGAACATCACACATAAATACATTCAATATTTTAATACCTTTATAGGTTTATACTTTGCAAATACAAGAATTCTAATAAATAACAGGTCAAGTGATTTCCACAGAAAGAACAAAATTGTACATTCATAATTGTATACACTACATTATCAAATACATCCCCAGCAAAAGCTTCTGTTTGTTTATATATTTATTTTATTTATTTATTATTTAAAAATTTTTATTGTAGAGAGAGAGGGAGCATGAGCAGGGGAGAGGGACAGAAGAAGAGGGAGAGAGAGAGAGAATTCTAAGCAGGTTCCATGCTCAGCCCGGAATGCAACGCAGGGCTCAATCCCATGACCCTGGGATCATGGCCTGAGCCTAAATCAAGAGTTGGACACTCAACTGAGCCACCCAGCCTCCTGAAAATCTTCTGTTTTGACTAGTGGATGACAGTTGAATCTTCTATTGCCAAATTTGTGCGTATAATTATCGAAAGAATTTTCACAGACTAGCCTCCACCTTGGTATATTTCACTCTTTTTCTCTTCCCCTCTCCACTGGTGTTGGCTGCCTCAGAACATGTTCTTATTGCAATATGACCTCTGGTCCTGAATCTTTGAGTTGAGGGCAAATTGGCAAGGTAAGCAGTAGAAGTACCCTAGGAAGTCATTCCTAAATGGGATAGTTGGCAATTAACCCTACAAAGAAGTGACTGTAAACAACATAAATATATATATATACCACATAAAATCCTAATTAAATATATTCCCAACTCAAAAAAAAAAAAAAAGAAAATGTACTCCAAACTCAACTTAGCTGAATCCCCAGAATGTCAGCAGCCACTCCCACAAACTTGATATAGAGCAGTGTATGATCAAGGGAAAAGACAAAATGGAAAGAGAATGGTTTGAAACCAATATGGTTAATTTTTTACTTTTTATATAATTTTACAAAATCATAGGACTATGGCAACACATTGTTAGGGCTCCTAACTGAGCTTTATAGGAATACACGCAATGAAGGGCTTTGAAGGGCAGGTTTCATTAATTTGAGAATAAATTTGCTTCTGAAGATGCAAAACAAGAGAGGGAGGGAGGGAAAGATCAAGGGAGGGAGGGAGGGAAGGGAGGCCAAACTTGAGTTATGTACACAGATTTCATTTGAAATCTATGCCTTCCTCATATGTTTGAAAATGCTTACACTTCTAACACGAATGCTTCATGGGTCAAGATATGTGTCACATCATGTTACAATTTATGTAAAATAAACAAGATCATTTTGGTGCTTGCCTTCTAAAGGTTTAGAGTCTACAATTTCAAAAGTTATGCTATGGTAATTTCAGGCATGAAAATTAGAGACTATTTTTTTCTTTGTTTATTCTTAAAACTTTTCAGTAAAATTTACATAAAGTGGAATGTACACATGAATAGTGCAGATCAATGAGCTTTGACAAATATATGTCTCTATAGCCTTGACCCCAATCACGATCTATTTCTGTCACTCCCAGAATTCTCTCCTGCCTCTTTGTAGTCAATATTCTTCTGCTCCAAGGGCTCATTCTTTGATTTCTATCACCCTAGATTAGTCTTAACTGTTCTTAGACCTCCCTCCCCACCCTCCCTGCCTCTCTTCCTTAGTCTTAACTATTCTTA